CAACAACAATGATAAAGGCAACGACAACTAAAGATTTAGTTTTAGTAGAAAGAAGAAAAAGAAGAAGAATATAAAATTTATACTTATAAAAATTTCGGTTTATACGATTTTGTTAATATTATTATTGTTGTTGTTGTTGTTGTTGCTGTTATTTTTCTACAGCTATAGCACTTTAGAGGAGGTGGTGTAGAGATAGCTTTACAGAGAGAGAGAGAGAGAGAGACGCAATAAACTAATTTGTAAAATTTAAAATGATTTTAGAGAAATCTTTTGTTATTACATACACACACACACACACACACACTACACACTGATATCCGAACTTATCACGTAACAAATTGTTTAATATTAAGCATAACACATAAAACCACTAGAAGAACGACTTGTGGAGATATATCTCACCTGAGAATCGGCAATTAAGCCGGTGTACCGTTAGCAAAGCCCATCTATATTCACATATACGAGCATTTATTTTATTAATGTGTAGGTATGAGGAAATAGGTACAGACAATAAATAGATAAACAAGTGTCTAGTTATATACGTGCGTATGTGTGTTTATGTTTTTGTTTTAGTATTGAATTATGAGAAATTCTTTCGTGGCCACATATATTTATTTTTTTTTGTATGTTAACGACGACGAGTAGGTTTAACCAAAGCTGGTCGTTAGTAATAATCTAAAATGCAATGCTAATGGCATATGAAGTTATAGAGAATAGTAGCGAATAAGATAAATGGCAATAATAACAACTACAACAACAACAAAAACCTTTACTAGGCTATAATTTTAAAGCCGACAGAAATATGTAATAAAAGCTAACGAGACATTTTCAAAGATACTATTACTCTATCGGCATATATATTTATATATATGAAAAAAAAAACAAAGAAAGAGAACAAAGAATAAAAATCAAGAAATTAATTATTTATCAGTCTTCGTCGAGTTTTGTAATGCCTGAGTGCAATTGGGTGATTGCAAAATAAAACGAAATTTCTTTTATTTGACATACATCATATAAACCATACATCGTCTATATATATTTTTTTATTTGAAGATAAAGTCAAAGAAATTCTAATACAAATAGAGGAGTACAAGTGAGTGCACAGCGGGTGCAGTCGGCCAAATGGTTTTCTCTACTATGGATTATTATTTATGCAAAGTTTAATAACTGCTTCTCTGGCGTCAGCATGTCAATGGATAGCAAAGGTAGCACTTTTATTTCGGAACACAGCCACAATTGTTTACGAATGTCATTTTGGCACGCTGGATATGAGATCAACTACATAGCTGCCATTCAGAGATAGAATTTCGGGTATGGTTTAGTTCTTAATAGAATCAACTCTATCGATAGTCCTACAAGTCGTCCAGTTCCACAGTCCTCCATAGTCGCCCATAATCATTCTCTTCCTCTTCTGCATCCTACATGGAAATTTAGGCACGAACTTTGCCCCGCCTTCGCTTATAAACTTCTACTTAAATACCTAAAGATATTACGGTTGGGCGAAGCCAACTATTGGATACCCTACGCCGCTTTGCGTGTAAACAACTAAAGTTATTACGGTTGGGCGAAGCCAACTATTGGATGCCCTACTCCGCATCACCTAATACCCCCTTTGATAATAATACACTAAAAGTTACAAATTATTTTCATGCAAAGCTCGCATAGGGGTCGAATAGGAATCCTTATGGGCGTTGGTATACGTTGGTATAAAAACGACTTACGTGGTCCGAATTTTTAACACAAAAAGATTCAGTTTTTGTAGGCACGATTGTATGAGCAAAGATTCAAGAAATCTCCCCAGAAAATTGCAATTCTTTTCTTTATAACGGCTTTTCAAAATAGGCCGTTGTATGGGCAGTGGTCGAAAAAGATATGAACCATTTTCAATAGTATCTTGGCCTTGGGTTAAAGTACACCTGTGTATCAAATTTTATCAAAATATTTCAAAAATTGCTCAACAATACATGGACCAACATCAGACGTATAGACGGACAGACAGGCTTAGAATCATTTTCCGAATCGATCTGTATAGCAAACGGTGGGTCTATCTTAAGCCATTGTGGGTATTACATACGTGCGCACTAACTTAATATACCCCGCAAGGCAAATGCTTGAGGATTTAATTTTTGGCTTTTATAGCAAACGTAAGAATTGTGTTAGACGATGCGGTGTATGATATTTAGTAGTGGGCCTAGCTTGACTATAATGTTTTCATCTGTCTGACATGCTGCTCTTTATATAGTTGAATGCAGCAAGCTTTACCGCATTCTAGCTAGTGCATTATATTGCGTCGTTCAGTCTTTCGTTCCGTTTCTGTTTTGCCTTACAATAGACGGCCATTGCTATGTGTTATTGATATTAAAAAGCAGGTTAACAGATGCGTTAAAATATCCGCATAGGTAATGCGACATTAGGTTTTGCGACTTTGTTGAATTAAACAGGCTAAGACGAATCTTAGATACCCTATGCCACTTCGTCTACTATAATTTAATGTTGGGCATTTAAAAGAATATTAGTTGAAGGCCTCCAAAAAGTTACAATTCATGAAATGGAGAAATGTTGCCCAAAGTTCGCGTATTAAACACATGCATTAAATTGGTATTTTGGCTAAATTTTCGTTATGATGTGTTAACAAGTCAGAAAATTATTTTCACTGACACCTATTCCGAATTCGATGTATTGAGCATGCGCCTATAAGGTCTCTGACGCGTACTTCTGGGTGCTGCAAACGTTGTGACGAAATGAAGATGCCCCTATCCTTGCGGGGTAAGGATATAAATATTAGATTTTGTGGTTACGATATAAGCGCTTATTACACTGTTTATTATATCTATCCAAGTTTGTCTGGGTGCCTGTCTGCCTGTCCGTCTGGTATTATTTCGATGACTTGTATTAGAAAGCGCATGACATGAGGAGAGGGATTGTTGATGGACCAACCCAACTAGATCAGTGTTTTATCATTTCAACAAATTCTGGTCCGTAATTCAGTCTCAAATTTACATGAACAGACGTCTAAAAGGCAGTTAGACCAACGGCCAGGAAATCTTCGCTTCCAATTCATTTTCATCAGAGTTTGTTCGTGTACGAGAATATGTCCGTGTGCTGTCATTTCATCAAAATGTCTCCGATATTTCGGTCTTTGCGTGGACAAATGTCACAGAGGTATTTAAATAGACGGACAGACATGTTTATGAAATGAATTTTATAATACATAGGCAGTCTAGTCAAGACGCTTTTGTTATTGAATCCATTCACACAAGTTTAATAAGTGCCGGGCCACGAAGAGAATAAAACAGACAAAGCTATATCCTGTGTGGGTTTGTTCATAGACTCAACTAACACAGTCATAGACTAACAAATACTAGAGAAGGAAAAAGAACTAAAATTCCGCTCTCTATTATCATTAGGTGGACGCGTCTGATTTTTTTCAAATTTCAGAACAAATGTGCAAATGTATAGAGTGGTAGCTTGTGAGTAACGGGCAAAAAAAAGAAAAAAGCGGAAATCACAGATGTTCACCGTTTTTTGGTGTATATAAGAATGGACGTTGTAAGCGGGTCCTTTGATCAGTTTACGTAATTTTCAAAAACTTTTGCAAATTTTTGGCTGATATTATCATTTTTGCGAAAGGGACAATGTTTGCTACGAATACTACACAGCTGACTGACAGAGACGGACAGATGGACATTAAGTTTAAAGTGCATTCCGAATTGGAAGTTAGCCAAGATTTTGTACACATTATGAAGCTTGTTTCTGCGCATTATAAAAATATTGAAAAAACAATGAAATTTTGATGCACTATAATACTGGGTAGGCGCGGTCAATTTCTCTCATATTTGTACAAGTGCTACATTATTTCACATAAAGCATACGATCAAATTTTTATAGATTATCTGCTGTAGTTCATGAATGATGAGCAAAAAAGGAAATTTTTTCTCCCTTTTAAAAAACAGAAGTGTTCTCAGTTGACTCGACATTATAGGCATGTCCTTCGATCAATTTAGTTTATTTTCAATACCAACTTGTGTGCGAGAATTTCCAATATTTTAGCCAAATTTGAAGTGAATAGCTTCATCTTTAGGGCTACGTTTACAGTAGACATTACATCGACCGACAGACGGACATGTTTAAATCTAAATTTAAAATTTGATGCTGATCACGGGGTAAGTGAAGCCTCCTACCTCTCCGGTGATGGATAGCAAACATCAGTCCATAGTCAAGGCGAACTTGTTGTTGCCTACATCCGCAAAAATGGAATAAAGCAAATAATATGATTAAATAAATGTTTCTCGATAACCATTTTCCATTCGTTACAAACCATTCGTTACAAATGTAACGACAAACCTTTTACACCATCATTTTATCATATCGATGAATGGACATAAAATGATATGAGAAAAAAATTAATTAACAACGTGTATGAAGTTTGAATAGAATCTTTTGCATCTTCGATTATAACAACGAATAATAAAAATTTTAATAAATAATGAGAAATTTTCCTTTATATTAATAAAAGCGTAGAGAAAATGACGAACGATATAAATAAAATATTACAGAGAAAAAAAAAATAATAATATTAATCAAATAAATATTGGAATAGAATGCAGAATATAACAGAATAGTAAAAAGAAAAAAAAAAGGAAGAATAAGAAATCAAGAAAGCATAACAACAACAATAATAATAAATTCTTTTACCAAAGTCATTGACAAACGAGTTACAATAAAATCAAATCAAATTAAACAAAGCATACGCTAGAAGTAACTTATGCTTTGTGTTTTGTGCGTGTGTGTGTGTGTGTGTGTAAAATCAAATCAAGCCAAACAATCGACTAACCAAGTGTGAGCAACCGGTTAAGAGAAATAAAGGTGTATGAGATGTGATCATTATTTGTTTTTGTTTTTGCTTTTATATTATTATTATTATTATTATTATTATTATTATTATTATTATTCTCTTAACTAAGCACTGTAGAGTGATTGCAACATCATCTTCTCGTTTCAGAAGGAGAAATCTATAAAAAAAAAAAAAGAAAGTGAAATGTAAAGGAAACGTTTATTGAAATCAAGCTTTACTCACTCTTAACCATACCAGTTACCAATGAAAATCAAAAACGCGTTTCACATTTAACGGAGAACAATTTTTTCATCATTAAAATTAATAAATAAAAAATTAAAAATTGAAAGCTCTCCTCGCTCCAACAAAGAAAAAAAAAAAAGAAACAATTATCATTATGAGAGAAGATGATATTGAATTTGCGATTAAAGTGGTCATTGTGGGCAATGGCGGCGTGGGTAAATCATCGATGATACAACGTTATTGTAAAGGCATTTTCACCAAAGATTATAAAAAGACAATTGGTGTCGATTTTTTGGAACGACAAATTGAAATTGATGGCGAAGATGTACGCATTATGCTATGGGATACGGCCGGTCAAGAGGAATTTGACGCGATAACCAAAGCTTATTATCGTGGAGCGCAAGCTTGCGTTTTAACATTTTCAACAACAGATCGTGCCTCATTCGAGGCCATAAGCGATTGGAAACGTAAAGTTGAGAATGAATGTCAAGATATACCCACAGTAATAGTGCAAAATAAAATCGATTTAGTCGATCAGGCAATTGTAACGGCCGATGAAGTTGAAACACTTACAAAGCAACTTAATTGTAAATTGATACGCACATCGGTTAAGGAAGATGTTAATGTCGCATCAGTTTTTCGTTATTTAGCTACGAAATGTCATCAATTAAGTCAAGCATCCTATAATGAGCACATGAGCAGCAATAACATTCATGATCCATCGTCGGGTTTAAGCAATGGCGTGCATTCATCATCACACGATAGTCACACCAAAACCATTAGTGCATTCAGTCCTACTTATACAAAATCTAAATCAACCAATAACAGTACTATTGTTTTAAAAAAAAATTCAGCACGCAAGCGTAAAATTATTTTGAAAAAATGTGGCATCGTATAGACAATCACATATTTATAGTTACAGCAAATACGGGCTCCAAAAACTTCAATTACGTTTTCAATTAATTGATTATTCCTTTATACATTATAATCATTAGCAGTTTCTTTTTTCTTTCTTTTTTTTTTGCAAAATTATTGGAGCATATCTTCAAATAGTCCAATTTTTTTTTTTTTTTTTTTTTTTAAATAATTGCAAAAAAAACAAAAAACAAAACAAAGAAACACAATTTTGAATTTCAAAGGTATTTATAATTTTTCTTCTTCTTCTTCCTCCTCTTCTTCTTCTTCTTATTATTATTATTCAATCGATTCATTGATATTCATGAATAACGGTTTCTCATTTATTAGCATATTTTTTTTTTATTTTTTTATTTTTTTTTTTTTGGAATATACCGCAGAGCAAGATGGGACGATGAGGTGATGTGAAGAAGATGATGATGCGAGAGTGATAACGATTACCTAACATGTCGCAAATATAAATCTTACATATTGAAGACTGACTGTTATTTTACATTATGTTATCTTCGTATACGACAACAACAGCAATTGATTCCTTTCATATAAATGCCGTTTGTAAAACAATTTTATAAACTATGTAATTAATTATTTTTAAAATTTTCATGTAAAAATTGTTAATTTTCAAAAGTTTTTGTCTCTACGTTTAAACTCATTTGTCTTATTTTTTTATTTTTTATTTTACAATCTTTCTAATATGTATATGTCTCTATGAAAAAAATATATAGTAAATGTATTAGTGCTAATTAATTATAAATTGAAATGGAAAATTATAAAGAGTAATTTCTTTAAAAAATTTCTAAATAAACAAGAACATTAACTATAAAAATGAACGCACTTATATATATGTGTATGTATGCATATATGAATGTTTTTATATGCTTGCATACATGTATGCTTGGACGTATACATATATGTAAGTATATATGCATATGAATGTGTATGTATGAATGCATACAGGCATGATGTGTACATGTATGTATGTTTGTATGTATATTTGTATGCATGTACGTGTATGTATGTGTGTATGTTTGTGTACATTCATATGTGTACGTACTTATGTATATGTATGTGTACGTATATATGTAAATGATGTGTATGTATATACGTATATATGTGGATTGTAATAAGTTTGGGGCGCCATGTAATGAACTGGGGGAGCCATGTAATGATGTAGGATCAAAAGTGTGAAGGTACTGGATTTATTTAATTTGTATCGCAGTGCGCTACTGCGGTTTTGTCCCTAATCTGCTCGGCTGCATAGCGCCAAGTCTATCCGTCTCGTATAGTGCCAATAGAACTCGGCAAGAGACGGTCCCTAATTTCTGGAGTTTAGGCGGATTGCACGCCTTTTGTTCATGAGCGAATAAAACGCTTGATTTGAATTGCTGTCAAACAATCAATTTCTTTATTTGTCAGGTGCATTATTTATAGTTAAATCTATAGGTGATTTTATGCTAACGTTATCAATTATTTTAATTAGGGCGCCTGGCATCGTATTGCATTTCTTAATGCAATACCCAGCCAGTTGAAGTGCGACAAAATTTTTGTTTCAAATTCAGCATAATTCTGTAGCACTTCAAAGTAGATGCATACGACGGTATGCGATCACACTACAGTATGTATGTATAAATGCGATTTAAAATATAAGAGCGCAATTGCATGTTGATATGCCTAACCCTTGCATATTATTTGAAAATATTTGTTCTTTTCTTAAGATAAACTTTTTCAAGAGATAGAAATTTGTTTATAATAGATGACCTATAATATGATTATTTAAACATAAATATATATATCTCATAAAGTGATAATATGGATTGATCGGCAAATCCGGAATCCTATGTGAGAATCAAAGGCAAGAATGACTATGTTCGCATAAAGTAATGCTAAGCGCTTTATGGTCTACTTTCAAACGGCTGCTCACTCACACAGTTATCACGGATGCGTAGGAAGTACCTCTGGAGGTAACCCAAATTGAAGTGGATGCGGCCGTTCAATGAGTATTGGGATAGCTGTGGTAAATCAAAAGCGCGAGAGTTGTACGAGCAACTCCCGAGTTGATTTCATCAATTTCTGTGATGACTGTCTCAAAAGTACGACAACGCAGCTGTCAGCAGCCGGACCTAGTTCACTTGTTTGCATTTTATCATATTTATTAGTTCGCTTTCTGGTAGGTCAAATACCATCGATGGGACTCAATTAAAGCTTATGATTGAGACAGGGATCGGCAACCTATGACCCGCGCATTGGTAATTTCAAGTTTCAAGTTTCAAGTTTTCAAGTTTAGTTCCGAAGATATAGTACAATATATAAAAAGACGACTAACTGTAAACCAAACTTAATTAAATTGACGTCAAGTTCAACATCATTATTATGTACTAAAAAAAGACTGTTTTAAGACGAAAATAACCCCGACCCAAAGGTCTTTTTAATACACACATTTTGCTTGATTTTGACCCGCGGCTGTTAGGCTGTAAAGGAAAAGATCACTTATAGATTTACTGACTTTAGGTCAGGTTACGTATTTAAATTGCAAATTAATGAAATATTTTTGATATCGACAAAGCGACACAAAAAAAGAGGGCGTTTTCTCTCAGTTTGCTAGCAGCTGACAAACACGATCATCTTCTTGTGAATTTACAGAATGCACTTTTCTACAGTTACAATAAAAAAGTCACACACAACTTGATGTACCCAAAATATTTCATTGAACTGATTTTTTCCAATATTAAAATCATTTTTAGCTTTCAAGTAATTTTTAACAGAAGCGAAAGAGAAAAACAATCTGTACACGATATTTCGCTTTACAGAGATAATAAATAATACGCAATAATACAGCTTTGTGTGATGAGTGCAAGTGGCAACTCTTACAAATTAAAAGAAAACATACTCAAAAATTGCTTAAAAAAAAGGGAAAAAAACAAACATTTCAAGCATAAGCTATCGGTTCATAGTATAAATTATATTCTAAATCTTTATTCAAAAACTTAAAGTGAATTAATATACAATTGAAAGACACAAATAAACTGATTTGCTTTTCAACTATATAACAAACATAACAAACTAGATTCGCTCAATAATAGCATTAATAAACTAAGCAAAAAAGTCCTTCCTTTTTTTTTTTATCAATAACTTCGAAAATACAACACTTATAGATTATACATAGTTTGTGTACATATATATAATATGTAGACATACTTTTTTTTTTTAATATATTTTGATATTTCAGCATTTGTTGTACGGAAGACGGCATTGTTTGTATTTGGTTTTTTTCATTTTATGATTGTGGAATTTTCATAGTTCGTAAACTAAATTAGATTTTCGCGAGAAATAGAGTTTTGAACATATCTTTTTGTAATACAGTGATAGGAAATGGAAATTAGCATAAAGTGGAATATATGTCGTGTTTGCCTGCAAGAGGAGACCGATTCTAAGAGTTCTCCTAACGCTGGACATATGCGATATATATTTAACGATAACAGTGAAGAATTGGCTCACGAAATTTACGAGTGTGCCGGAATAATGGTAATCAATTTAGTAATTGGTCGTATTTGAAGAAATATTCATAATATCTGTCTTGGCTTTTATGTGCTTGCAGATGAGACCCGATGATAACTTACCGCAAAAGATATGTCGGCGTTGCCTAAATGTCTTAAGGAGCGCAGTGTATTTTCGCAAAACGTGCCGGGAATCTGATAAATATTTACAGTCAGTCATACAACGTACAAAATCGGCTAGCACTCTGTTTAAATTAGATCGTAAAGATAATAATCGTTTCAACTTTTTGGATAAAAATGCCGAAGATTCTTCTTATTCATCTCAAAATAACTGTGAAGAGGAAACGTTGGATGATATTGACGGCGAAGGTTTTATTAAGGAGGGTACGTTAAAGCGTAAACAGCGCTTTGGTCGTTTTACGCGTAAAAAAATGAGATCTCTAGATATGCCTATTAGTTCTAGTTTAATTGCAATTAAAGAGCATGAATATCAAATACCGGATTCAGGCGGCTATGAAGAGGAAACAAATGATTTGACTCTTATGGATATCATAGAGAAGGGCGATGAGGAAAAATGTATAGATGAGGAGGAGCACGACGCAAGTCACGAAAACGAGGAAGAAGATCCTACTAAAACTGGGGAAGAAATTACAGATGAAACTTACGAAAGGATTGAGCGTGATGCTCTAGAAACATCGCACGAATATGAAGCAGACGAGCATAACTCAAATGAAACCGATGCGGAAAATTGCCACGATAATAATTCCAATGGTTTGAGGACAACTAGCTTTGCTAAGTTACATAATATTATTAGTAAATCACCTACGCCCGAAGAAAACGTTGGGAAGAATGAGACAATCGATGAAGTTGAGGAGAATGGAGACAATGCTGATGAGACAAATTTCGAATCGGATGTTGTAGTAAAAAGAGAAGAAATTTACATTCTATTGAATGAGGAACAAGCCGATGTGCATACAAATATTGATAATCAAGAAAATGCAAACATCGAGTACGTGTCCGGGGAAGAAGGGGATTTAGATCTAGAAACTCTTGAGGATTTCGAAAGCGCCCAAGTTACGTCCACAGTTCGAGGTAATGGCGAGGAGAAACCCGACGAACCTGGCGACATTGAAGAAAGCACAACAAATTTATCGTATCCTGAAACTCATCAATCTGAAAAGTCGGGCTTCGTTGTAACTGAATACATTATACCAGACGTAACGGAAACTAAAGTGAAGAAGGAGGCCAATTATGTAGGTAAAGGCAAAATTACTTTTGTCAAAGCCCGTTCATCACGAGGTAAGAAAGATGACGGCTTTGCTAATAATAATTCTGTCGCTGTCACTACAATTAATTGCACGGTGTGCGGAAATATGTTTACCAGTCGTCATCTATTAAATGCCCATATGCGAATACATCGGCAGGAGAAACCACACGAATGCGAGTAAGCTCTCCTACGATGCCTAAAACAATATTTAGATTCAAAAATTTTATTAAAAAAAAATTCATTTCTTACAGATTGTGTTTTAAACGTTTTATAACGGCGTGTAATTTGCAGGTAATAATATGTCTATCATCTAAAAGAAATAGCCAAACTGGAGTGTGGCTTTATCTTTAAAACTTCCCTTAAAGATAAAATTCTAAAGGAACTTTTAAAGATTAAACCACAGGCCAGGTTGACAGTTTCTTTTAGTTGATAGACGTATTACGTAATGTTACCTCGTTACAGGCTCATATGCGTATACACACCGGTGAAAAACCGTTTGAGTGTCAATTTTGTGGACGTCGTTTTACCGATCGCAGTACTCATATAAGGCATGAAAGGTAAGGCAGACATACTTGAAGTTATAATAAATGCATTCAATGGATTGATTGATGTTCTATTTACCTTAATAGGGTGCATACAAATGAAAAACCATTCACCTGCGAATATTGCAATAAAGCGTTCGCTTTGTCTACAACTTTGCAGGCTCATATTAAAGTTCATACAGGCGAACGACCGTACAAGTAAGTTTTCAGATAGAGAGCGCATTTCTTAAACGACCACAAATTTAATTTAAAATTAGAAAAAAAAAAAAAAACAAGAAATGAAATAATTTGCGGATGAACAAATGAGTCATACGACTGACACCACATTGAAATTCAATTTAAATTTGTGCGTCTGTCTGTCTTCGGTTATTATTGAAGCCATTGCAAATGTAAAAATTTGGGATAGAATCCTGAAAGCTAATAAACACTTTCAGCGACTGATTGGCTGCAATTTCAATTTGAAAATAAAGGTATCTCCCAGGCAGTCACGCACACATTAGGCAAAAAGCTAGCAATTCATAGCAAATATTGGTCTGAGAGACTGCACAACCACTAACCTCGATTCGTTCACCAACACATTTGCATCAATTTTGTCGCTAAGCTTATAACCTATAATATCTTTCGATTTGATATTTGATATAAACATGTTTTCGTATGACTCATATCAAAATTTTCTACAAGGATACTACTTTACTTTAATTGACTTAGCTCGTGCGTATTAAAATTTGTAGAAGAAGGAAAGTTTTCTTTTATGCCCCACCTGAAAGTGGTATAGGACGGACGTGCTTGAGATTTTTATGCTTACCGCATAGACCATATTAGAAATGCTCTTATCATAAAGCAAAATATTCGTCAGACAGACCATAAACTATGTATGTCTTCAGTCGGATTACATTTTTCTGCCGTTCTTAACCAAAAAAGTGGGAAAGACAATTGAGACTGGATATATGGATGATGGTTTGTTTATGAGATGATCCACCTTGTTGCTTTTAGTAGATGTTGCATCGAAACTTGTGGAAACCGTATATAGAACTCCAATCCAAAATTCGCCTTAATCTGTTTACAATTACTAACAAAGTTTAAAAATTGTAAGCATCACCTTATAGGCGATTGCACTCTTAGGATCTACAGCTGGCAGGCCGGTACGAATAAGAATGATTAAGAGCAAATAACTGACCCACATAACTCTAATAAAATGTGTGCAATCCTTGCGGGTTTATGCCGAAAACCGAGACTATTAAGAAGTCGGACAAAGGCAAACAAAACTCTGTGGGATGCGGATATATTCCTTTTGTTAAAGCATTTGACATTCAAGACACCCTACAGTTTACATGTATATTCTTGACCAATATCAAATTTCGAATCAATTTAGCCAAATCGTCTGCTTCTCTGTATGTGTTTATGTGTTTGAGAAACGATCCTATCCAGTCCTAAAAACTACAATGTAGTCGCCAATGTTTCCTGCACGCAGATTGCTTTGTGGTCGACAAAGGATACATCTAATGTGTAACTAGCTCAACTAAACTAAACTAACTTGAGATTGAGGAGATTGAGGAATAGTTTTTATTGTACCAATAGGATTGAGTGTCACAATATGTGCGAATATTTATTTATAATCGAGATGCTCCCGTACAACTCAATGAATTATCATTGATGCAGGTGTTAAAGGATACCTTAAGTTCAAGAGCAAAGTTAGTGATCTGTTTCCTGTGTAAGGCTGTACCGAAGTTATAAAAAATCGAGCATCCTCACCCGATATTATAGAGTGCCAAAGTCCCTTTCCTTTTTTTTAATTTTCTATATCCTACACCTATATATACTTGTGGTACTTCAAGTTTATGCGAACATACGTAGCACCCAGAAGGGTCTAACATGTATCTAAGTTGTATTATACCGATCGAATCAGAAAATGATTTCTATTCTTTTATGTCCGCCTGATGTCTATCCACGTGTGAAGCCGATAGGCCGCAATTTTTGACTTTCTTTCACCCCAGGACGAACGCTATTGAAAATGGTTCAGATCTTTTTCGATCACTAATGCCTTATTTTCAAAAATAGTTATATGGAAAAAATTGGACTTTTCGAAATTTTCCGATAAAACCCGCTATGAAAAATTTGGTTTCCGCTGGAGCAATTTTTGAACCTTTCTCTCAGATCACCGTTCCTAGAAGAACTGAGTCTTCATATATTAAAAAGGTAAATTTTTAATGGCTTCATAATAGTAAATGGAAAAGGAAACCAACACTACTGAATTCGTGGATCCACTTTCTGGCTACTAATGCATACAAGCATTCTCAGGAGATATTGACAAAAAGGCGCAATTGTTAATTTCCTATGACGAAAATTTGTTCGCAGTAGTAATTTGAATTGAACCGCTTGGACGACACTCCATATAACACACTTCTCATGAATAATAAATACTTCAAAAAATCTATGACGACAATTGGTCGATAATAGTAGTTTTGGCAAAGAATTAACGATAGCGAATATGGATCGCATAAGCCTATTTTTTACGCTCTAACACACATGGGCGTTGTCGTGAAAAGCAAGTCCTTATATGGAAAGAAATTTTTTATGACGGAAACTGAAAAAATTATAAAAGCTTTAGTAAATTAAATTAAGTTGGCTAAATTTCATGCCCTATGATGTTTTGGGCATCATCCAAACATACAAGCTTTCATGGAAAGGACGTCGGCCAAGCGATGTATGGCATCTAATGGTCGGCCTTGCCCGATTGTAATGTTCTTATTTATTTTTATTAAGGTATAAAACAGTCGGCCACACTCAAGTACATTTTTTTCCTTTTTTTTAATCGTTTATTCTTTCCACACATTTTCGTTTTATACGTTTAAAGTTTACGTTTACGGGTTTTTTAACTAATGAAATTAATTTTTTCTTTTTTTTTTCCTTTTTATTGGTTTCTCTTTGCAGATGTGGACCATGTGACAAATCGTTTAAATTACCACATCAGTTAAAAGCCCATCAAAACACTCATTTACATAAAGCCGTAGAGCAATTGAAAATAATTAATTAAAATTCATAGTAATAAATTATTCATTTCAATAATAATCATCTCATTATTAATATTAATATAATAAATTTTAAGTTAACCAAAAAAAAAAAATTTTTTTTTTAAATTAAAAATTTTTGCTCGAATACGGAGAAAATTCATTTTATTCAATTAAATTGTAAGCTTCCAAAGGGAACAAGGGTAAAAAAGGAATTTTACACTAAACTTCACACACACGTACACACATACACACATATACTTATTCATATTCAATAATTTGAAATTCTTGACTGGCTTCTTTTTGACGATGTGTGGCGGTATTCAAGTGTGCCTTGAGTTGATGTTGCAAGGTAAAGGACTTATTGCAAATAGTACAACTGCGTTAAACAAAAAAGAAATTTGCGAACCACTGTTAAAAAATGAAAACTAAAGTTAAATGCTTTAAAAAGACTTACGCGAAATCCTTTTCGCCTGAATGCAATTTCATATGATTCTTCAGTATGGCTGAATATGAGAAACTTTTATTACATATTTTACACTCGAACGGTCGCGAGTTGGTATGCAATCTGTAAGAATATGAAGAAGAATGCGTTTCAAAAATGCGGCCAACAATTGTTCAATTTATTAACTTTACCGTTCATGACGATGTCTGGAGCTTCGATCCATAAATTTACGATCGCAATATTTGCATTTAAATGGCCTTTCACCGGTATGACGGTACATGTGATTCTTCAATTCACTCATCATCCGATAAGCTTTATGGCAAATTCTTGAAAGAACAGAATAAAAACAAATTCAGAATTATACAGAGGTATGTCTGCGAGCTTTGTCTTAGCGTATTTTTATAAAGAGAAAGAGCGTATTTTAAAAAAAAATTATATATATATATATATATAAACAGTTTACATATATACACAAAAGTTATATATATATATATAAATTATATATAAAAACTGTATATATAAGTACTTTAACGCAGCAATCGATTTTATTATACTATGTGGCAGTTTTGTACATTGTTTTGGGCCTAAACTGTCGTAAATCGTATTCTTTTGGAAAAAATAAATAAGTAAAAAAGAAAGAATCTATTGATTATTGGTAATCGATTTATATAGGTAGACCCACGGACAATGAATTTTTACTAACTCAGTCCCTCTTTACAAAAAGTTTCTCTGCATTAATTTGTCGAATGTTCCTACTAAGAGCTGTGGTCATAAAAAAAAAATAGTACACCTCTTGGCATTAGCTCCTTTAGTTTATTTTATTAAAGTGTACATACAAATACTACGCTATTAGGGTAAGGTAGACTGTTCAAATGTTTGTAACGCATAGAAATTTGCGTCAGAAATCCCACGAAGCATATGTATGCTTTCTATTCCCTCCGGCAGCCGATGTGGGTGAATTGCATTCAAAATTCTTGTTATAAATAAAAAAAATTTACTAAAAAGTATATCTCAGTGCAATTTTGTGAATAAAATTGCTAATCTTATAAAAATAACTCAATTTAATGATAGCCTACCAGGATTGTTAAGAAATCCTCCAAGAATACCCACAACTGATCTCTAGATTAAAGCAAGCAAATGATTGTCATGTGTTATATCTCTATTTCAACTCTTCACACAACTTTGGCAGATGGTCTTGAGCGGAAACGGTCCCGTTTTTATTTATGCTAGATATTCGGTTTTTCTCGTATGGAAAAATTTCTAAACAAAAAATGGACTAATGCCATCGACCAAGCTTTCCAAATTTCAAGGTAAAGTTAAACGTGGCATGGTTTAAACAAAAACAATTTTCGAGCAATAGTATAAAACCAGACGATTAAGTAAGTAAAATTTACAGAAAATACATCCCCAGTTGGCGATGCCTTCCTTAGCTTTGCAATTAAAATTATCTTAGGAAAGGAGTTTAATATCAATGTTAAGAACTTAACTTACTCGCATTGATACGGCTTAAGATCGGAATGCATCCGTAAATGGTATTGAAATAATGGCCGCTTTGTATAGACATTTCCGCATATCGAGCACATGAATGTCATTGGTTTTGGTAATTTAGGTTTTTCTCCTGTTTTTATTGCTGGCTTTATTGTGGAGGAACGTTTCTTGGACTTGGGTTGTATTAAAGCTCTGCGTTTTAAGCGTTTAATGCTGAGATCACTTCTTGTAATATACTCTATATAATTTTCCAATTCCTCACTATCCTCCCCGTTTAAATATGACATAGCTTCGACAAAATCGTCCTGCGTTAATTCAATTAAAATTTCGCTCTGTTCAACGTTATTTTCAATGCTCTCATCACAACAATCGTTATCACCTTCAGATAGTTGGTGATGTTCTTCAACATAATCTTTTGGTCTAGATTCATTATCTATTTCATTAGAATCGATATCGTTAACATCGTCTGCGCCATCCCCACCATCACCATCATAGCAAATAATTTGCTCAAAATCGGTATCCGAAAATGTGTAATCATTTCCAATTTGTTGCTGGCCTAAAACTTCAATGGTAAATTCTGCAGGCTTCTCTTGACGCTTCTCGGTGCGAAATGTTTGTAAATCCTCGACTAGACTTTGCAGAAAGTTCGCATTTTTATTCTCTTCAGCGGCTACACTATAATCATTCTCATTTACTTGCAAGCTTTCCAAATATAATTGCGAACTTAAGCACATTTGACGAAAATTAAACCAAATCCGCGTCATATTAAAACATTTCGAACAAATTTTCGTGGGCATTTTCTTAGAGAATTGAATCTGGAATAAGTATAATTCTTAAAATTTGTGTAAACCAAGTGTAACTTCTTATTTACCCTAATACCACAACAGAACTCAACCTTTTCATATAATTTCAACTTTGTATTGTCCTCCTCTTCTTGACAAGCTCGCATTAAATCATCATAATTCGAATCACCATATAAATCATACATTTCACGATTGTCACTTTCCACTAGGCACAAACGGCACTTTTTATCCATTGTTGGCACTTTTTTTTCCTTCAACTTTTTTACAATACTTGCTTAGATATCTTCATAAATGAAGAAAAATAATTTAATATAAATCAAAAATTTATAAATTTAAGTAAATTGTTTTGTTTACAACTTAGTTAGAAACAAGGGTTGCCCAATGTTTTAAAGTTTAAAGATAAAATGAAGTCACATTTTATTCGGTAAGGAAACACCTTCGGATTGACCAATAGCTGAGTTGAAAAGAGGAGCTCTTTGTAAACTATAATAATTATATCGCAAATTTTACCGGACTAATCACTAGACACTGTAATCTCTCGTAACTTTTCAAAAAAATTTTTATTTATATTCTTCTTCTTATTTATGAATGGTCATTCGCCTTGCTAAAATACACTTGATACTTCTGCCTAAAATTTCTGCTCATAAGCATAGGCCCCAAAGAAATCGATTCCTTCACTCATCTTGCTCAAGAATATATGCGCAACACTCCTATTGATAGTTCCCATAGACATTTACATCTATGACTAATATTTGCAAAATAATCTAAACTACCCTACTATTATGTTTACCAAAATTAAACTTGACTACATTTTCCATGTTTTCTTAGCCAACCCTCTCTCTCTCGTCGCTTTTCTGTATTTTTATTACAAATTTTGAATTAAACGTAAATTTAACGAAATGTATGACTGACTAAAAAGTCTATTTTTTCGATTTAAGTTTCTTAATTTTTCCCTCTTTAACGCCGCTCTGTAAATCTGCTGCTTTTCCCTTTTTAGTGAGCTTTCGAGAAGTATTCTTTACGTTTTTCTTACGTCGCCCCAAACTGGCCAAATCTATGACTTCATCCTCGTCGTCGTTACCATAACGTTCCGTTAACTTTTCCATTAAAGAATTGAAATTATTTTCCCGTGCTTGCCGGCGAGCCAGTATTGTTTGTTCCAAACTGCCAACACCACTATGACCGTCATTCAATTTTGTATCCATTTCAGTTTCTTTCTCTTTAGCCCTTAGTTTTGCTTCGAGCTTTTCCGCTTCTCTTGACTCTTTAGCATATTTCTGGTGACGCTTTTTACGTTTCCGAGCCGGTTCTTCAGTAAATATTTTATATTCTGGGACCTCTTCATCCGCAATCATTTCGCGTACGATCTTCTGCAAGCGATCTTCATCATCCACTTTTAAAAATGGAACTTCATTTATAATTTTATCAATGCTGCCCTTACTGGATAAATACGCTTTACGTATGTCGGACCTTTCTAAGTCCGAATTTATATAGGTCTTCTCATAATTTTCTATTGCCTCTTTAGTAATTGGTTGAAAAATTTTCCGCCATAATTCTAGCCAATTATTCAATTTAGTTTCCAAGATGTCATCGTCATCATCGATAATTCCTTGTTCATCATACAATTCTCTCTTGTCTTTGTCCATTAAGACTTGATAGACTTTAGAGAGTACTTTAAATTTTTCTGTGGCGCTTACTTTTTCTTCTTCTGGTACACGATCTGGATGAACGAGCAAAGATATTTTATAATAAGCCTTTTTTAATTCTTTTTCTGTGGCGGTATTTGATACACCAAAGACTTTGTAAGCATCCCGCGTTTCGAAATACTCTTCGCACAAATCTAATGTAGACATAGTTTCGCCTTTTTATTTCAATACAATAATGAAAAAAAATAATTTTACAAATTTTATGAGATGCTTCAGTTCTTTAATTTTTTCACAAAATTTGTATAAATGCAATACGAAAAAACACCTCAAACAGTACTGCCAAGACAGCAAAACAAAAGCAGTATTTTTTGAAACAGGAATGCCATAACACGTATTTCAATGCTACAAACCAATAGAGCAAAACTTGGTAAAAAGTGCAAATTGCATTAAAATATTCTTTTATAAATATTTAAATTTTTTCCATTAATTTTCAAGTTTGTTTTTTGTTAATTTAGCGACTATTACTAAAACAATAATTAACGGCAAGTATTATAGACATAAAGACACAAACAACATCGACTCTTCATTTGGCTTGCTACGAAATGTATTGTTCTAAGCAACCATGAATGTAAAATTTAGAAAATCGCGAACTTCGTTAAAATGTGTACTTTCGCGGTTTTGTAAGGATAGGGGTCTAGGGGCGATACAATTCAAATAATAAAATAAATTTCTTGTCTGGGTTTTCGACAGCGATAAACATTTTGAACTATTAAAAGTGTGCAAGTAGTTTTATTTATTTGCGATTCGTTTTTTCTTGTTTAACGAAGCTACCAGGCATTTTTTTTGCTTTTTAATTAAGAAAATTGTAAATAATCAAATCTGATGATATTTTATTTATTTGAAGTTTATAGTACATTTGAAATACAAAAATTTATTTCTCTGAAAAAAAAAAACGAGTTTATTAAATCTAGAAAAAGGCCCTTTTCTTTTTTTTTAAACAGGAATACAAGTCCGTTAGTTCTTCACATTTCCTTTTGTAACAATATTTGTTAACGTTTTTAACTGCTCAAAAGTATGCAGTCAATTATATATAGGTAAGTAAATCATCACTTTATACCTTTAGAAATAACGAAAAGATATGGAAAACAATAATAGGCACAGAAGGAGAGAGCAATAAAAGGGAAGAAATTAGAAAAACATAATCGAAATACTAAGAATTATCTGAACTAACAGAGGAAGGATTGGTTTCATCTTCTATGGTCATGGCCTCGGCTTCTTCTTTGTCTTCATTGTCTGACACATTTTCGGAGGAAATATTATTGCCTTTAATATTAGCAGCATATAATTGATTTAGTTGTTCATAGTATTGGGTGGTTTGGGCTACAGCCTGAGGGGGCACATTAAATAGAGGATGCGTGGGCAGCAATTCGTTAATAGGATCACCCAACACAGATGGATGTAAAGCAGATTCGGCATGCTGGGCTATGGCCACACCAGTTAAAGTATAGCAAGTGTGATAAAGGTCTTGAGGTCTGCAAAGAGAGGTTATGAATTAAACATCGAAAATTGATGAACAAACAATCATACTTTCCGGGCTTGTCTATCAAGCCGCCGTTAGGTTTTTGGCAACACAATAAAATGTATTCTTGTAGAGCGCCGACATCGAATAAAGTTTTGACTAATTTATGATTATTCTCGTTGGAAATAATGGCTTGTGTTATGGGTATCGTCGCCCCTACCCAAAAAGAGTAGCAACCATCTACTAATTTATTTGTTCGTCCTTGAAAGCCACCTTCATACGACATTTGCCGTTGTAATGTCCATTTCTTTCAGTGTAATAAAAAAAATATTTGTTAATGTTTGTTGTTGTGATGGTACCATTTTCTTACCAGTAGCTGCTGTTGATCGCATTTGTAACCTTCGTTGAGCAATGCTAAAGCAGCTATGCCGCAAAATGTGTAACCTCCGTGAGCCTCCAAGTCGGGTGTGCCACTAAAACCCCCCTCATACGTCTGACAGGTAGCTATCCAGTCTCCAGTCTTATCAAATAATTTCTTTAACGCCTGCTCAGGCATATTTGTTAGCTTAGCTACAGACACCGCACAGTAGGCTCCCCTAATATCAATTTCGCCATCTACATGCATGCGAAAAGCGCCGTCCGGTTCTCGTACTTTAAAAAGAAATCTCTCCAAAGAATCGCGATTAATTGCTCTGTACGCACTTGGTGTGCCAATCATTGCTAAACTGTTCACCGCCGCGTACGTAGGAGCCAAGTGCGGATATTGATCGGGACCACCGGCGAAGCCTCCTTCCGGATGGCGACATCTAATTAAATAGCGTTCGAAATGCTAAAAAGTGCTTAAATTAAGAAAAACTTTACTCTTTTTTTACTTAGTCAAAAATTGCACTACGGCGTCTAAAGTTTGAGGCGCGAAGGTAAAATTCAATACATGGCCCGCTTGTAAAATCCAATAAATGCACCATGGTCGACTGCTATCTAAGCATTCATAGTTGCCAGGTAAACGATGTAGCATTGATTCCAAAAATCTTTGATGCTCCTCGCGATGAAATTTAGCTATTTTCGGGTCCAAAAATTTCAGCTGCTGATAACGATCAAAACATTTTTCTATGGAATTTTCCGTCTTTTGCTAAAATGTTTAAATTTCACATAAAAAACTTAATTTTTGTATCAATTTTTTTTTTGCATATTATAACCTGTTCTCTGGATGTTACAGTGGAGACCCTTTCATCGTCATATTTAAAATTTTTCAATAATGTGTAATCGCGAAATTCTATACCGATATTAATATCCATTTTGTTTTTGTTACTATGTTCGTTTATATTAAACTGTGATTGTTTAATTGTTGTTTTTTTTTTTTTTTTATTTAAAGAAAAAAAAAAAACTTTCTTTTTTTAATAAAATTAAGAAAATTAAAGAAATCTGCACTAACTTAAAAATTCAACAACAATAACACACCGTTTTGGATGAATAAAACAACTGTTTCTTCTTTTAATTATTTACATATCAAATTTTTGTTGTTATTTTCAAGAAGCCGTCATACATCTCGCTCTCTTAAAATCTCTTCTTTTAAATATTACTATTAAAAACTCTTTTGTGGGTACAGAGTTGCTATTTTACATGAATTGCTTTAGTGAAACCTGACTTTCATCGACTTGATTATACTGAAAATCATGGCGCACTTGATGGTACGTTTAACTGATTTACGTAGTTACCTATTTTTATATATGTATTTGTAAAAATAGATTCTTATTATTAATTAAATGAACATGTATTAGCTTACTATTAAAAATACGTTTTTATAACCTAAATCAGTCCCAGAGGGACTTGAGATAGATATGCCTTGTATTACACAGATCGAGTCAGAAATATGTTGTGAACTGGTTTAAGCTTGTCTATCCGTCTGACGTATGTCTGTCGAAGTATCCTTGTACTAACCCTATAGGGCGCAATTTTGGGACATTCCCGTGGTTTTCTCGAACGGACCAATTTTTCGACCACTCCCCTTATAACGCCTTATTTTGAAAAGCCGCTATAAGAATGTCTGCATTAAGCCAACTTTCATTATACTATTCAGTTTTCGAGATATCTTCATGAAATTGGGTACATTGATGTAGTTTAACTGAAGGACGAACGCTATAAAAGTTTCAGATCGGACCACTTTTTCGACCACTATAAAACCTTATTTTGAAAAATTGCTATTTGAATAGCCATAGGATATAGATATGCTTTTCTTAATTTGTTTCTTACTACTTTCTGAGAAAAGCCCTTCCTGAGGTTGAAAGTTCATTTTGCATTACACATTTCTTCTCGCAAGAATATTCTCCGTATGTCTTTATTTTTTTGAAATTCGTTATTAAGCCCGACTAGAAGGAGCCTGTCCAGGAAATAGCTTGAGAAAAAAATATTTTTCGAAAATTCCTTTCGTAAGCGTTACATTTTAGAAAGTTTCCAAAAATTTCGTTTAATTATTAATGCCTGATACTACCTGATTTTAATCTGCTTCTCTTCGTTCTTCTTTCGTGCAGCTCTTTTCTCGTTTATATTTTATATGCGACACTGTATAATGAAGAAAGTGTTTATGGACTAATTGAAATTAACAAAATCGTGACTCGAACACCGAAAGAGCAAGATATCGGTTTAATATTTGGTAAGTGAGATAAATACTTTTGCTTCTCAAAATTGTAACATGTTAACATGTAACATGGACGATTTGAGTTGATTTATCCATTTCGATACGTTTTTCTATCTTTCTGTCTACTTATTGTCATCATTTTGGAAAATACTAGAAAATAATTCAGTCTGAAATTCAAGTTTACAATTTGGGATAGATATACTCCTGTTCTTCCTTCATCGAAATGTTCTAAAACTATTATTTTCTTATATATTTTGTTTTTAGATGTATCTTTAAGTAATACGGACTCTGATAAAAAAGAGATGTTAGAGTACAGCATACGTTCAGACGGTACCTGCACCATTAACGTATCCGATGCTCAGATGGTAGATAATGTAAGTTTGTTTATGGAAAGTATATTTTCCAAAATTTTACATGAATATATTCCGTTTTCAATTTAGATGGGACGTGTTATGGGTGGTGATTTCGGTTTTATAGAAGCCGGCGTATCTGATACCGTTTCATTAATATGGCCTACCGTTGTAAGTAGTTATTTTGAAAGAACAATTTTTAAAAACTACTAGCATCCCGAACTATCCTTCTTCGTCTGAAAAGTCTGGGCTGTGATTCAGTTTGGTCTATGCAAATATTGTAAATTTCTTTCCGAATAACAGAAATGCAACCAGGTTTTAACCATTTTCTAATTCACTTCTAATGTAAGTGTGAGTTCCTTTTGCATTTAGGACGAATCTTTCTTTGATCATACTTCCAGATCCAGGTCTTCGTACACTTTCAGCTTTCCTGTACTTAAAATTTTGAAATCAATGAAATGCTTGCGTTTGTCGTTATAAAAGAGTAAATAGGATAGAATTTGTCTTCCCCCTTTTACCTCACTAAAAGATATTATTAAGAAAAATTAGCCCACCTGGTCGTCAAGTCTACCAAAATTTATTTAGGGTTAACGTAATTAGCAAATTTTTGTTAAGAAAAACGGAGTTACGTTCCACTTACGCTTTACTGCGGGCATATGCTCTGAGCAATTCGCCCCACTTTCAATACCAATCTATGGATAGAAACTTCCAATGTTTCTACCAAACGGGAAGTCGATACATTAAAGTTTGTGATTAGGTTGCGTCCACAACACATACCAGAAAACCACACATACGAACATCCATGGCTTAATCGAATTCAGAATTTCGCGCTGATCGGGAATGTATATACTACGTAGGATCTCTAAAACTTACTATTGCGTGTTGCAATTCCATCTTTCGGTGGTAGATACAAAAAATTTGTATTATCCGTTGTTTAAAAAATCTGATATTTTTAAAAATAATATCCTGTAATCTTCTAGTCGCTGTACAATCGTGTGGGCATATGTCCTGTAGTCATTATATCAACTAATGCTAAAAATGATGAATTTCATTTAAAACAGTTGATTAAATTTGATACCCGATTTGATATCATAGATCCAGAAGGTCATACCTTTAAAAAACGTAAGTTATTCACTTTTTTATCATTTTCAAAATTATAACACATTTAATTATTTTGATCTCATTGATTAAAGATAAAAATTATAAGGACTGTAAGAATTGGGATAAAGACTATCTTAAAAATTGCACACCAGTCAATTGTGAGGAGCGTTATTTCGGTTTGCGTAGCTTCTATAATGAGACCTCTGAAAAATGCGTAGAGGTTGCTCGTTGTGCGGACGCTTATGAGGTTGTATTGACTTACCCATCTCTTTCCATTCTAATAGTCATTCATTCATCTATCAGTTTTATGACCATTTTACCAATGAATGCATCGATACACGTTTCGTCATTAGCGAAAGCGATCTAAAAAATATACGTGAAGGGAAATACGATAATAATGTCTTAAATTTGAAACCCCATAGTAGAGGGTATAAAGTAAGTAAAGGTATAATAATAATGATTAAAAGTATACATGTAGATATAAGTGTGTTTTTCTATATTCAAGTCATTACATAAAAATTAGATTAGATATTATTTGTGTCTTTATTCCCTACACCACTTATGGTGTAAGGTATATTAAATTATTACCGACGTATGTAGCACCCAGATGGACTTAAGATAAACCCATCTTTTATTATACCGATCAATTCCGAAACATTTTTTAAATCAGTCTAAGCATGTCTGTCCGCCTGTCCGTCTGATGTCTGTCCATCTATTTTAGTGTTCAAGCTGCAGGCCGCAATTTTTGAGATATATTGATGAAATTTTGCACAAAGACGTACGCACGGTCTCCTGCTCTTGTGGGAATTTTCTGTCTAAGGTAGCGCGGACTTCCTGTCGTTCTGTGCAACTTTCTACGATATCGCAATTTAATAGATATCGAAGATCTGAATTATTGATTTTGACACCTAACACCCATTGCAGAGTAGAATTCCACGGTTGGATATGGGAAATATCCACATGTATTATTTCGTACCAGAAATTTATTAAAATTTATCATTTATAGCGAAATTAATCGAAGTCAATTTTTGACTATTGAATTGATTGAATTCATATGGGTCTGTCGTCGGTTATTACAAATCAATTGATATATAAAAGCGTAAATACTTTCAAATGATTGACGCTAAAACCTTAGTTTGTTATTCATTGATATCGTCAGTGTCCTTATTGGCCGCGTGGCTTAGTTGGTTAAAGCGCCTGTCTAGTAAACAGGAGATCGTGAGTTCGAATCTCGCCGGGGCCTGTTCCTTCTGTGGACGCTTGAGAAGAATATTTTCTTTTTTTTTAAATTACTTTAAAATTCGAATTACTTATCCTACGCGAATTAAGACTTCATATATTTTCAGGAGACGTCTAAAACGATTTTCGACGAACCTTCAGACATGAAAAATACGTTTTCCAATTTTTTCGGTCACGATTTCTATAAACGTGCTGCCTTACGTCCTCAGAAAATTATGAATAAAGAAGAAGAGTGGATATATCCAAAAGTAGAGGCCCATGAACGCGATCGTCCACCTTGGATGAAGGGACTAGGTGATGGTCTTTTAATAGTAAGTGCTTTTATACTATACATTTCATGCGGCGCATATTGATTATTGAATGTGAACGCAAAGGTCGGTGTTATTATATTCTTGCAGGTTTTTGCAACTGTTACGATTTATGTTTTAATATGTTTCGCCATATTTTTGGTAGTTACTTGGCTTTCGCGACGGCCTTGTCGTGAGGCTGACGGTCACATACGTTCAGTTATACCGACGCCAGTTTCATCAGATACTAATCTCTACACACCATCGAGTATACTGTCGCAACGTTGAAGTTATATACATTTTTGCTTTTATTTTTATTTATTTACTAATTTATTTAATATTTTATTTTTAATTAAAAGCACATTATACACATGCACTCATCGTTTCCCTTTGTTTGTATATAGCAATGGTTAAAACTGAGCGAAGAAATCCATAAGACAATGAATTTGAAGTATTTCCTATTATTATCATAGTTAATAATACCGTTACGAAATTTGCTTTTCTTGATACTGTTCGTATCACTAGATCGTGGTTTTATTTACGATCAATTTCTTCAAGGGTAGGATTATTTATAGTTTACTTAGCTTAAACTTTCTTTTCGACTGAAATGTTTTCTTTCGAGTGACTCTGCCTTTCGCAAATATTCCGCTTATATACATTTTTACAGGCCATAGTTGAGCTAGCTAGTCCGCGAGATGTGGGAGAGGTCCTGAATTTTGCTCATGAACACTCCTAGGACGGTTACAACCAAGAATTTGTGCTTGCTTGCTTGCTCCTTAAGCGAATACGGGATGCACGAAACTTTAATCACCCGAAAGGAGAACTTCATCCCTAGCTCCATGTTCTTTACTCACCCGTCCTAGTGATCACCCTATGGCTCAACTGTGAGTTTATAAGGGACCCGCAGTGTCTTCTGCGTAGCATTTGATGAGTTTTGGGCAAGATTGATAAACGTACTACAGTACTTTACTACAAAGCTTAAATTGCCCTTAAATAATTTTTCCAACAATTGAGAAGAAGCAAATTCATGGTTTATTGTGAGCTGATCGGCTATTTTTGACAGATATCATGAAAAAATGTTTGCGGATATCTTACACATGAGAAATGCAACAATAACGTATACACATAAACATAGTCCGCAGAGCTTAAAATGTTATCATCATCACAATACACTTCAAATTCAGGATAAAATTGTGTAGAGAAGTTGAAATTAGAGAATTTTTTCTGGAGAAAACATTTTCATAAGCGATAAGCTCTATGTTGTGTATACATTTAGTTTTTCATCATCAAACTTTGACCGTAAGTGACTTCGTTTTATTAAATTTAAAATTGAGAAAGATTTTAATACAGTAAATAATGCTCTTCTTTTCCTTTAAGTTACGCTTTTCTTGTTTAACTTATTAAACTTTTATTATAAAATAAAATAAAATTCATAATTTTATAATTTTTTGAGTTTTTTCTTATTTCAGTTTTATGTAAATGTTTCACAAAATTCTTCTTCTAATTTTTATCGTTTTTAATTCCTTTGTGTACTTGCGAAATGGCTTTGTTGAAATTAATTGAACTGCATTGAGTTGAATTTTCGCTATAACGGCTAAAATTCGTTATTTGGTCTTTTCCTTTGCAAGGTTACAAAAACATACCCTTTTGTTTAGAATTGAGAAAACACAGAGTTGCTTTCAATAAATGCAAATATCCGCGGCCATGTTAAAAAAAATCCCTCGAGCATGATAAAAATATCCCGCGACCATCTTAAAACTTATCAATTATGCGGACTTTAAATAGGGCACTTATTACAACAATAATTCGTTTGCATTCACCAGTCGATCTGATTGTTCATTAATTAAAAACCATATATTTATGGCTACCACATGTTTCTACAAACGTTTATAATACCAATTAATATATGTTGCATGTTCACCACATTTTTTTTCAGTCAAGATAAAAAAATTATAAAGAGCTAACGAGACTCTGTAAAAGGTAGACAGAGAAAGAGACACATCGGTTACTGTTGTATGGGGTAATATCGAATCTCGATTAAAAATAGAAATATACCATCTTCTTGGATAATGCGTTTTAAATTTTCTATGCAAAGTGTTTTTAAGGCTTGTTTTTTCGGTGGTCCCATTTTATGAGGAAATAATACGAAGTATCAACCACGACACAGTGAATTAAACGGACTTATTAAAATGGTATTTGAATGAAACATTGACATCAATATAGCTTGAACATCAGAGTATTAAAAAAAATAAAATAAATATATTTAGTTACCTTTCACAAATTTAAAATTTTTTGTTTTTGATCAGCTGTTTGTAAGTAAATTTTATTTGCAATTTTCAGCCGTTCTCTCTCTAAACAACCGGTTGTTTGCAAAAAACAATATTTTCGCATTTTCGCATCTTTTGTGCAAAAAAAACTTTGAAAACTTGAAAATGAAACCTGGATAACGCCATACACAATCAATGCCCAGATGCGTGAAACTGAATTCAAAGCCTAACAAATCAAACTTTGGTTCGTTTATAAAAAAAAAAAGAGTATACATACCCAATCTTAAAGGACTTAAAAAGTAAGATAAGTTAATTGATCTTGCTAAACAGTTTGGGGACGATTATTCTAAATCAAGGCTGCCGTGCCTATTTCCTTTTCTATGGACGTTTTCTCACCAATACACATAAAATCTTTGCGAACATAATTTAAATTACGAGCACTACTTATTTGTGTATATGTCATTGGAAATTTAAATTTGTATATTTATATTTGGAGTTGAAATGTAAACAAAAAACAGCCGATTGAAAAAAATTTCGCTCACTTTTCAACACTGTCTCGTAGTTCAGTGAAGAAAAAATATAAAAACAGTAATAACTGAATAATAAAATATTCCTTCCTATTTGGGAGAATTCAATAATATAACTAAAAAGTATCTTTTAAATTAATAAATCACATTAAATAGAAATAAAAGTAAGAAGTAATATTGTTAAAAAGAAAATATCAAGAAAAAAAAAGATATAGCAATATAAAGCCGGTGAAAAAATCAATCACTTCATATATAGATATGTGTAATCAATTGTATTGTTTATTAGTTTGCAATAACGTTACTAAGTTTCCAAGGACGTCTTATTGAAATTTTTCTAAAATTGCCGAAATATTATTTAAATATGTGTAAAGTATAGAAAACGAAGTAATTCTTTCTCTTTTACCTCGTATTAAAAAGGAATTTGGAATGTGAACTAATGTTTACATATCTTCATATTTACAAATCTTGATCCGTCATGCTTATTGGTTTTTATTTGCATAATAAAATTGATAATTAAATTTTTATTTAAAAAAAAAAAAAAAAAACCATTTAACGCCTATACAAATAGAATAGATATATGCGCGCTTAATGGGTGAGCACTTCCAAACGTGTTGAAATTGACCTTTATCATTTAATTTAGCTTTAAAGGTAGATTATAAAATGGAAAAGCTTTTTTAATTAATACCATTTCATTTACAGAAGATCGACTATATATCTATTACCTACTTAGGCATTTAAAGCGTTTTATTAAGAATGGCTAAAGCGCAGAACGATTACATGGACAATTTTGAGAATATCATTGGTGCGGGTAATGAGGTCGATATGATGAAAGACTATAAACCTCTAGTCGCCTATAAAATGGAAAATTATTTAAATCCTAAGCAATTGAAAACACATGTACTAAAAAGCGAAAAAATTACTAAACTGATTAACCACTACGCACAGAAACAGAATTGCCCGCCTTCTAAAATAGAACAACAGGTGAAAGCCATTATTGATGAGATTGGTTTGGATCGTAATATGGCCATAATACGTTGGTGCGGAATAGCCATTACTTGCATTGGAAAGCGCATATGTTCCGGTATTTATGTTAATAAAAATAGCGTGAACGAGCTGAAAAAAAGTCTGGGTAGCAGTCCGGTACTATATTTACCAACTCATCGCAGTTATATGGATTTTATATTAATGTCGTATATATGCTTTTATTATGATATCGAAATACCGGGTATAGCCGGTGGAATGGGTAAGTTTGTATAAATGCATTAAAAGCCGTAAGTTTTTTTAAAATATATCTCGATATTTTTTTGTTAAAGATTTTTATTCTATGTTTGCAATGGGTACGATGCTACGAAAAACTGGAGCATTTTTCATGCGTCGTTCTTTTTCTGATGATGAACTTTATTGGGATGTATTTCGTGAATACGTGTACGCCTTGGTCTCTGTCTATCACATTGGCGTGGAGTTTTTCATAGAAGGCACACGAAGTCGTAACTTTAAATCTCTGGTACCAAAAATAGGTTTACTATCAATGGCTCTATTACCTTACTTTACGGGCGAGGTATCAGACATAACCATTGTGCCAGTAAGTGTGTCTTATGAAAAGATTTTAGAAGAACAACTATTTGTTTATGAGTTACTGGGAGTACCAAAACCTAAAGAAAGTACTAAAGGTTTTTTCAAAGCTTTGAAAATCATTGACGAGCGTTTTGGAAAAATGTATTTGGACTTTGGTAAACCTATATCGGTGAGAGATTTTTTTGGTCATAAAGATGCACAAAGAACTGAACGGGCAACCTTGGCAGCTCATTTGCAGCAACTGAATAAAAATGAAATTGAATTGATAAAAAAATTGGCAAACGAGGTTCGTTAATCAATTATCTATCTAAATTTTTTTTTTCCTTTAATTTATGAAATAATTTCAGATTATCTATCAGCAGCAAAGGCGTATAGTTATAAACACTTTTAATCTGTTAAGTCTCTATTATAGCAGTCAATTATTCAATCAAAGTCCAGTGAATATAGATGAACTATCCCGTGGTATTACCTTATTGAAGGGTTTATTTCAAGAATTGGGTGCTCATATCTCCACCAATTTAAACGCTATTAAACCTGAAATTATTAAGACCGTTGAAATCCATTCGAATATAGTACATTTTTATCAAGCAAATTTGCGGTTTACTAAAGTGGCCGCCGAACAATTAGCTCAGGAAATCGATATGGCAAAGCTTAAAGGTTACGCTTTGCGACCACAAACTATGGCGATCGCTTTACCAAACTTATCCTTACAATTATATATAAATCCTTGCTTATTTTGGTTGGCCAGACCGGCTTATCTAATAATGGCTGCTTTACAAATACAAGAAGAACAAAAACAACTTCAAAATTTACAGAAAATTTCAAACCATTCAGATTTGCTGGCAAATCTTTCATATAAAACAGCTGAGTTAGATCAAATATTCAAATATGAATTCATTATTGAATCTAATCGTGAAGACGAGGTAAATAAGACAAACACGTTACACTTATTAATCTTAAATTTTTATATGATTATGCATTTTATATAGGAATTCCATAGGAATTTACATTTATTGAAAAGTTATGACATTTTAAAGATAACAACGGAAAATGGTTTGGTAACAGTTAACATGAACGACTGCTGTCGCGTACTTTTATCAGCATTGGCGCCTTTTTTATGTGTTTATTACCAATTAGTGGTTACGATTAATAAAGAGGTAATTATAATCACAATTACATTAAGGCGAATCTCGTACACTATTCGTCTTGTATATCTTCGTCAATTGAGTTTGCGTTGACAACTTAAGGATCATCATGTCTCAGCGTTAAGTTTCGGAAGAATCCCATTAAATTAGTTCAAGTGAACATAGGCCGTTGTGCAATGAAATCCTTTTAACGGGGGAGGAATTAAAGCTAAACGAAAGAAAGGAAGGCATGAAATTGCATCAACAGCCCGAATTCCATGTTTATACATTTCATTTAAGGAACGGCAGAGGATTTAAGCAGAGCTTTTAAGACACAGTAATGGACTTGTAAAGCGAATACAAAGTAGTTTTCTATCCAGTGGTTTGATATGCCAAAAAGTCACTTTTAGAGAGATTGCTTTAAATCGAGTCTTCTCTTTGCGCATAAAGAGGAAGAACTAAATTAATCACCTTTCGTCGAGAGGGAACTTTAAAAAAAATTTATCATTTATCATGAAAAGGAGAGTGGGTTCGTTGATCACATAGGTGGTGTTTACCTCTGTCACATATATTGGTTTCTTATGTTTTTTTCTTCATATTTTCGAAGTACCTATAGGCGGTCAATGCACCCGCTTTTTCTCTTGGAGAACATTATCTTTAGGAATGTTAACATAAACATAAATTAAAAGTTATATTTTTTAATGCGCTTTTTTAAATATCACAAGCTAAATGATAAATTTGGTTTATCTACTATTTAAGCATAGCTTAATAACGACTATAAGTATTCAACTAAAAACAAATTAAACTAATTCCTTTCTTCTGTTACTTTTCTAGTTTCCAACTGATCAACACACTTTCACGAATAAGGATATTCTGACGAGCATACAAGAGCGTATCGAGCAACTTTTGCTGGAAAATTCGCAGAGATGTGTGCATCCCTATTGTTTAGCTTTGGATAATTTAAATATAGCTATACACGCTCTTATTCAAGAATCGTATCTTTTGAAAAATCGTGAAAATGGCGATTTAAGACGTTCACCCCACAAATCTCTGTTCGATTTAGAGCAACAATTGGTATTGTATTGCGATTTAATGCCTTTCAAACAATATTACATGTCAGGTGACCAGATCGTTATAGATTCGAAATTATAACTATTATTGAAAGGTAATAAATCAAAAATGCAACGTTTCAAGTCACTGCTTAAATATACGCGTATTATGATAACATTTGCAGTAATTGTTGTGGTTACACCGATATACCATCTAGTTCTTAACTTTTTAACAAAATAAATTTTAGCTTTAGTATACATTTTTTTTGGTACTGGACATTGTATTCGTTTATATTTCTTGTCAATTGTAATTTATAGAAATTAATTTTAACTGTTATACCGTATACGTATACATATATATAAATATGAAGGATATTTACTGTACCTTTAATGACAAAAGTGCCGTTTGAATTCTTCAAAACTGATCTCTATGATAATAACATCCTTTAGCATAAATTCAGGTTCATTCTTAGATCAGCCGGCGTATTCACTAACTACCGAGACAAGCCATTTCTGAGTCACTAATACGCACAATTAAAATCTTCTAAGCAGATGAGCAAAAATATTTACAAATTGCGTGACCTATGGTTTCATACAGTTTAGTAATTAATTTAGCATCGACATAGGATGATTGCTTTTCCAAAGGCAATCGCTGCAGAAGTTCCTTTTCTGAAATAAAGAAACGTGATATCAGGAGAAAATTAGGAAAAGTTGACAAAAAAGCAATCATAACGTTAACCTTCCCAATCCATAAGCATTTCATGTTGAACTAAGTCATCGAGGACCTCATAGCAGTAAACCGACTTATAGAAAGCCTGAACATAACAATGGCACTCTATAGTTACTTTTCTTTTTCTCTTACGCTTAATAACTCTTCTCAACCGCTGACACTTTTTACAAGAAATTTCTTAATAAATTATCTAACTATGTGCTCTAGTCATCAAGCAATAAGTCAATATTATTAGCGGCATTTATTTCTTTGCAGTCGCATATGTTTTTCCAAACATGGTTTGAGCGAATCATGTTAACCGGGTTTCTTGTGTTCGGGAATGATTATATGGAAATTTATGACTTTTATTGTCGTCATAGCACTTGAGCTTCGTAATTTATGAAATGATATCTCTCTCGCTCTGTCTATTGTGTGACTCACATATGATGACGACACCTCTTGATGACAAACCTCATACAAAAAGTACCCCTAACCCGATTTTGCCTTAAAACGATGTAGAAAAAAACATTTTTGCTTTACAGAATGTCATTCAATCTAAAACTTTTGAATATTTCAATGAGATTTATTTTTATTCGTGAGGAATTTTATAACTAAATAGTAATTAATGCTTTGGCAGCGAATTGTTTACGCCCTTTCAATTCGTTAAGAAAAATATTAAGCTCATGTTAATTTATAATACTGTCTGTCTCCCTTCGTTGTTCGATGTTCCACGCCTTAAATGTGTGTTCATTTTTAATTTCAGTTTGTGAAGAATAATATTAAGAACGCTTTGACTCACATAACGGCCTTCTCTGTTTCTTAAAACTATTACTTACTTACCGGACTTGGATAAATTGGCCTCTTTTGTTATTTATTTATGCTCAATTTTCATAGCCGTTAACGGTCGAAGATCACTACTTCACATATCCCCCAATAGAGGAATCCAAATTTCATTTGGCAGTGTAATATCTTTGTCGAATCTTTGTAACAACTTCCTGTGATCTCGGTGGAAGCACAGGTGTCAAAGCTTTATGCAAGAAGCGAGTGCAACGGCTGTCGGCTGTTAGTTCGTCCTCCTTCTTACCCAGGAGTGACCCTTCTTCCTCACCCCATCTATAACGTAGTTCATGTACGTTAAAGTAAATTCCAGCCCCTGCTCTCGTTGTCTAACGAAAGCTCGTGATCTTTTTGCCAATACGTTTATTACGAACATCTTCAGGCTTATGCTCAATACACTTTTTGCTAATGAGAAGTAATTTTGCTGACGCACTGTTCCTCGTATTCTCCTGAGATAAATTAATATTCGCTTTCGTTTAATTCGTTTTACTAGTTGATCTTCCGTTGCCATCCACGCGGCTTAACAAGCTTTATTACGAATGCTGATTAAGTAAAAGATAATAAACCTTTTTTTGTATAACTTTTTGGCGCGAAATGTTTGCCAGAGCATATTAAAAGTTTTATGCAGGAGATTGGTTTATACAACTTGTGCACATATGCGCCAAGTATTAGTTACCTAAGCCTTTAAATAAAGCTTTAGTCATATAATTCATATAATAATCGAAACCTGGATGTTTATTTTTATTTTATTTATTGATTTCGTTGCTGAACTTTTAAAAGCCGTTAAATAAGAAAACTTTGCTTCTCTTCTTTTATTTTTGGTTTGATCGTTGTGCTGTAATCCTGAATTGTTTTATAGTTACAGATAGGCGACCAGACGGTGTCAATTCCTTGATGATGGGCAGAAACGTTGTAAACACTTTGCTTTATTTAATTACAAATTATCAGCCAAATGCAATTAGCAAAATTGAGGTTATGTTTGTAAACATCTGTTATATTTGGTAGGTTTTGCCATACTAATGAGCAACTCTTGCTTATAATATCTCGAGTGCTGGCATCTCTGTTATTGAAGTTGTATTTTCAGAAATTTTTGCAAAAATATGAAAAGTTGTGTGTTTTTTTTTTTAAGATTATGGCTGAATCAGCGCAAGTAGAATCTACACCTTCGGTGCGTTTAACAAATGATGATTTCAGTAAATTGTTGGCCACACCACGGGCTCCACCTTCTGTGACTGAAAAGAAGCGCAGCTCTCATGGCGGTAGTAGTGAGCGCGGCGATTTGCGTCGTAAAAAGAAAAATTTCTATGCTGCCCTTAAAAAACAAGAGGACAATAAGTTGCAAGAATTATCGGAAAAGTATCGCGACCGAGCCCGGGAACGTCGCGATAGTGCAAATCCAGATTATCAGAATGTTAGTACCCCGGGACATGGCAGTACTAATGCTTATCGGGCTGTAGCACCAGATCTAAAATCCGGTATAGATGCGGCCGAAAGAAGAAAACGTATTATTCAGGAATCAAAGTTTTTGGGTGGTGACATGGAGCACACTCACTTGCAATTCGGAGCGCACTTTCTGCAGAAAGAGAAATGGCTGCAGCCGAGGCCTCTGAGAAATTAGCAGAAGCTGCCGCTGCTGAACGCCTGGAAGCTGAACGTCGTGAAGCAGAAGATACTATGGCTATAAAAGCTTCGATGCCGCGTAACATTTACAATCTAGTGCAAAGCAAGCGTTCAAAGGAAATTCAGCGTATGGAGTTGTTTGCTCCAAGCCGTATGGTGTATGTAATTGATTTGGAAGATGATACTGGCGAAACGGATATACCTACCACATTGATAAGATCGAAATATGAAGTGCCAATTAATCGCGAAGATGCAGCCACTCTTACCACCAACGACATTGTAATTAATAAATTATCACAAATTCTCTCTTATTTAAGAGCTGGGGGCCGCAATAAAAAGAATAAAATACGCGATAAAGATAAACTGTTATTCTATGATAAGGAGGTGGAGCAACTAACTTCAGCAGCGAAATTAATTAATAAAGCGCCAGTGGGTGACAGCATATACGGCGATATCGGTGATTATCAACCTCTAGCGCAAAATGATAGCAAGTCATCAAAAGCGGATAAACACTATTCCGGTAATAGCAATGAAAAGCCGCCAACTTATTTCGGAGATAAGCGTATAGAAGACGCTGAACCTGTTATTACTACGATACCACCTCCGCCTAAAATAACTAAATCGTCGATAGCTTCACGATTTACTAACGAACCCGAAGGCTATGCTGAATGTTATCCTGGGTTAGAGGAAATGAATGATGCCATTGATGATTCCGACGATGAAGTGGATTATACTAAAATGGATTTAGGCAATAAAAAAGGACCTATCGGGCGTTGGGATTTTGATACTCAAGAGGAATATTCTGATTATATGAGCACTAAAGAAGCTTTACCGAAAGCCGCTTTTCAATATGGCGTTAAAATGGAAGATGGTCGCAAAACGCGAAAACATAAGACAGGTAAAAATGAGAAAGCGGAGTTAGATCGCGAGTGGCAAAAGATACAGGCAAGTGTTAATCGCTTCATCAATTTTATATTAAAATATTTTACGAAATCATTTTTGCAGGGCATAATACAAAAACGCAAAATCAAATCATCTAACGATGAGCCCGAATATAAGCAAATAAAATATTAAAATCCATTATCAAAATTAAATTGTGTGCAATGCTTCGTTATCAGCCAATACTAGGCAAGCTATAATAAGCAAAAGAATGAAGAAAGAAAAACAAACGCGAAAATGCTTAATATGGTGTTGGGGCAAAAACTTGGGATTATTTGGATAAGGAGCCTTGGTTACGCTTTTATATATGTGTAATCCATTATTCTTTGTTTCCCTTTCGAAGAATGACATTCATGAAAAACACTGCAACTGATGGTCAGTTAAAGTTAAGTTTACAAAAAAAAAAAAATTTTTTTTTTTTGTTTTAAAGCGTTTTGTTAACTATTTGCTTAATTTATTTATTATATTATTGAGAAATTTATTTAAAATATTCAGACTCTTCAGAACTTAAATTATTAACCCTACATTGCATGTACATAGCATTAATGGCTCTAATAATAATAATAAAATACTTGGACTAATAGAAAAAACCTTTCCCATCTTTTGCATTCTCCTATAGACTTCTTAGCTCGCTTGTAATTATTGCTATACACTCATAAAGAGTTCATCTGTGTAATATGCACTAAAATGTCTTTAATTAAAAATAAAATGTAAATAAATTAATTTACATTGAAATTCAATAATCAATAAACTTACTATTAAAAGACCATCACCTCGACTTTCCATCCAAAATGGACGACCATGTTCATGGGCCTCTACTCTTGGATAAATCCATATCCCTTTTTCCTGTTTCTTTCGTTCTTGTTGGCTTGCAATGGACTAAGCCAATAAAAGTGTGGCTTATATGTCCCGATAGTACAATATGATCATTATTTGCAAGAACTATATATGAATATTTTTAAGATAACAAAAAGACGGCGGCCAGTATAATAAGTCTAATTATAAATTGTTGAGTTGTATGTAGCGATGTTGCAAGATTTGGCTGAGGAAAGAGAACGTTTTAGAGAAAATTTGAATTGAATATAAAAAGTGAAGATGAGGCTATCGGACAATTTGAGAAGACTGACCGACTGGAAGAATTTCTAATACCATTGAGCTTGTGGTATCTGAAGATGAGATGTTAATGAGCAGACCAAAAAAATGGGGAAACGTATTCTTAATATTTAAAGATTTTGCGAAAACCGTCTTAAACGTCTTCTGAAAAACTGCGAA